ACAACAAAAGAGCTTTTTACACAGTATCTTAAAAGTTGTACAGAAAAGCAAATTAAGACATAAAATGCAGTTGAGAGAGGAAGCCAAAGGGTCAGTCCCAAAAGTGAACAATAAACCAAATTATGAATTTAAGTAAATATTTTTTTAGAAAAAAAGTAAAATGAGTGTCTCACAATTCTGTTTACGCTTATTTAAAATCCAGATTGTATAGCTGATCAAATGACAAGGCAAACAGAAAACTGCCCTAAGAAATGGAATCTTCTTCTCTTCTCTCGTTAATACGCTTGCTCCCCAATTACAGGTAATCCTCAATTTACGACAATTGAGCCCAAAATTTATGTTGCTGAGAGAAATTTGTCAATTAAGTTTTGCCCCATTTTACAACTTTTGTTAAGTGAATCACTGCAGTTGTTAAATTAGTAAACAGTTGTTAAATGAATCTGGCTTCCCCATTAACTTTACTTGTCAAGTTGCAAAAGGGGATCACAGGACACAGCGACCGTCATAAAAGTGAGTCAGTATCCAAGCGTCTGAATGTAAATCATGTGAACATGGGGATGCTGCCATGGTCATAAGTGTGAAAAATAGTCATAAGTCCCTTTTTTTCAGTGCCGTTGCAACTTTGAACGGTCACTAAACAAACTTGTATGTCAAAGACTATCTGAAGTTAAATGGGGAGCTAACATATTTACCACTTGATGGTATCTACATTTAGGATTTCTATCAGGATAAAAATTAACATATAAGTGCTGTAGTGCCAAGATGTTTAATAAATTATTCATACTTCTAATTATAGAGCATTGGCTTCTACTTTTTTCCGACATATTAAGCCTCTTCAGAGATGGAAGACGTATTCAGTTTCTTTGTGAGCTGTTAAAATGTCAGCCAATATTTATCAGATGGTTGGTGCTATTGACATAAGGAATAGCTTTGAAGATATGTACAGTCTAAAAATTTGGGACTAATAATCATTTTCTACAAGTATCATTAACTTTGATTGACTGGAGTTCTGCATTCTCTAGCCTTATGTTGGAAGCATGCTTTAAGAGGCTTATTGTGGTTGTCACTATAATAGACAGCTGTATTCTGATTCCAGTTTCATTATAAAGTTCAGAGCAGATATTGGAAAATATACATTGTAGAAGTGCATAATATTCCAAGCATAAGCAGAAGATTGGCTCCAAAGACTGATCGAAATCACTACTTCTGATTTAATAACTACTGATTTTTATCTGCTACTTCAGTCAGAAGTTATTTTATAATAATGCTGAAATGAGGAATATTGAATGTAGCTAGCATAAAGATCAGTATTACTGGTTCCAAAGAAGATCAGCATAGATTTAATTTTTTTTCTAATAAAGTGTTGTAAAGACTTTAGAATACAGTTTTCATTTAGAAATGCTGTATTTCTTATAGACACTGAAGGTGATTTTGAACATACAACATAAAAAGACTTGTGGAGTTCTGTGTCAGGACTCTTATCATGTTGTTAATTATTATAATTTAATAATAATATTTCAATGTATATCTTTGAATTTCATTTTCAATAGCTACCTAAAAGGCAATTAACACATTTCTGCTATTGAATAAATATATAAAGTTTAAAATGGTAAGCATACCTGCATGTGTATATACAATACAGTATTAACATATATTAAATTCCAGTGCAACGTGACTACTTTTAAAAAATAAAAGGGGGGCATTATTATAGTCAAATAAACAAAGTATACTTTTTAATTATTTGTTTTGGGCTTACAAACTGCAGGCTAGGTGCTATCAAAAGAACATTTTAAATAGGAATTTGTTTTCAGTACTAAGGACACTTTCATATGTATGCATCTTTTTGTTTATATATCCAACTGGTAACAGAGGTAGAAAAACAGACAGATGAAGAACAAGGTCTCCCTACATGATATTCAAAAATAGATGCTACACACAATCTGAACCAGAATGGCTTATTTAGTGATTTGGGGGCCAGGTCTGGCAATGCAAAGTCTCTAGATCTCATTCCCTAATTCCCAGAGTTTAAAAATAGCTTCCAAAATTAACATAAATGTTTCAGAATTCTTAAAACGGATTTTGAAATATGGTATGGCTGAACTGAGGGGAAATCAACATATTCCTTGTTAAAGTAGCCTCAGTGTATCACATTAAATAAATAATATCATAATAGAAGTTTACCTAGCTGTCAAGGTTTCGAGCTGCATTACAAGGTCAGTGATGAATCTCAACAGGACAATCACTAAAGGAATCTAGGCTGTTGCATTATGATGGTTCCTTATCTATTTTGTAAGACAGTAAAAGTAGAGGGCCATAATTTGGAAATCTATTTCCTCCCCCCAATGATTTGACTATTGAACAGAGTCAGTTAGAATGGCAATGAAAAGCACTGCTCAAAAAAACCAACCCTTGTTGACACTTCAAAAGATCTAACCATGACATTTTCCCTAAAATTTTTGCCTAGGCATATTCATATTGGAAGGCACAATCATAGCGATGGGTGGGGAATATTTTAACTTTATATATGGATTCAAGTTGCCTAGAAAACACCTATCCTAGATTTGAAGGCTCTGCACTCAAGGAGTCTTGGAAGCCCAAAATTACACTGGAATTGATACCAATTTGTTTCATGATCATCACATACCCAGCCTATTTCAAACATATAAATTAGTCCTCTCTATGAAATAGTGTCATGGGAAAAAGTCTATGTAGCTACACCAAAAGAGAAATCCTAGTATTACAATTCTGCATAAAATAAAAAATACACTATTTTAAGCTCTCCAGATGCAAACTGACAAAGGTTATATTTTAAATGCTGAAGTTTAGGAGATAAGAACTAATATTTTGTGCAGAATTTTCTGCTGTCAGCTTTCTAAAAGACAGCAAAAGCTTTTATTAAAGATTAGAACAGTACACATTATATATGTATTCTAATATTTAGCAGTTACATGCAATATATTATTTTCAAAATTGTCTTTCACAATTTTTTGGTAATGCCAATTCTTTATTATTATTACACAGGATTTTCATATAATTCAACAAATTTCATTTTAAATAGAAAATCCATACATTTTCCTTACAATGAATTTATTAAGGTCCTGAACAGAGGCTTTCATTTATAAGTAATATTTCATTAAAATTTTGATATATTTTTTTTAAAAAAGTTAATTTAATGCATTCCAGTTGCTACAAAAAACAAGTAATTATCCAGTTCCTTTACAAGTTACTTAGAGTAAGTAAATTCTTGCCATTAACTTATTAACACACGCAGGATGGACTGATAGAAGTTATCAAGATAAAAAACCTTATTTGATTCTTTTTATTTCTGTAGTAAGCATTTAAATAATTTTAATTGCTATAAACACAGGTTACTACCAACTAATCGTATCAGCTGGTACCTAAGAAGAACTGTTTTACAAACCAAGATTATAACGCAAGGTTTGAAGAACTGGAGATGAGGAACAGGTTTTAGCATCATCTCTACAATGCAAAAATAAATAAGACTATTTACTTGAAGACCAAGAGGGCAAACTTGACCACAAAGAATTACACATGAGTCCTACTGAATTATGGTGTAACATAGAATTTACTTCTGTGCAAATCTAATTAGGATTGATGTGTAACACCACTGACTTTTTCAGAATCAAGAACTGGCAGCTCCTGAAGTAAAGTACTGTTTCTCCAGATGTTAAGTAAATCATTATTCAGTTTGATGCAAGGTTTTATGAATCCTTGTTCAGCCAACTTCAGATGCAAAGTCAAGTCATATCTTAGCCCCCCGAATGTTCATTGTAAGCAGTTCACACAAGTAACATTATTTATGTCGTTTCATAATTATGTAACTGATGCAATTTAATCTGCATCATTATGCAAATTATGTAATTATATTACTTCCATAATCATACAACTGACATACATATATCACTTATGTAAACATACATTTAATGGACATCCCTTCCCCATAACTGGCCTTAAAATCAAGATTTTATATAAATATCCTTAATTTTTAAACTAAACTCACTGAAAAAAAATATAATTGAATCTTAAATACACAGAAGCACAACAACTTCTTTCTGGTGAGTTTATTTGATGATCAGAGTTAGATACCAAAAGGTATCTTCTGGCAAAAATCTATGACAATTTGCTATCCTAGGTTCCATGAGGAAAACCACAAAATAAATCTTGGTATTGTATATGATACTTCACTTCAGGCTATATATAGTTCAGTCTGTGATACTATGAAGAAAACCCTATTCTTTATGAGACAAGTGTTACAATAAGACATAAGGAATCCTGACTTGTGAATGAAGTCATTTATATGCAGCTTCCAATTTCTGCTTTACTCTTTTTTTCACATCAGCAGGTAAACCAACCACTATGGGCATAGTTTCATGGGACATCCAAATTTGGATTATTTTTTTTTCTTCCTTCCCTTCCCATTTTTGTCTCTGCACTTTTTTGTTTTTGTTTTATTTTTTCTTATTTTGCATTAGTTTTTTTATCTCTGCATTTTTAAACTTCAATAAAAACTATTTTTAAAAAAACTTAGATTTTGAGATGGATTTGTAAGCTCTTAATAAACCCTAGTTCATAGCAAGCTTATTATGCTTGTGTGAGCATATCTAACATAATTCTAGATTCAGGTGTCATACTTGGTTATAATTTTGTTCAGACATTCAATATTTGTAAAGATGGATCACCGCCAGGATGCACTTTAAATCCCAGTCTCCGGTTATGACCACCGCACACTTACCCAAAAGTTTAAGATGGAAATTTAACTATAATTCTTAATGATCAGAAACTTTCTCTGTTCAAAGCTTCCAGTCAAGGAGAACTTTGTCATGACATTCAGTTAAACGCAGCAATACTTCCATTTTTACGTACTCTACATATTTGATATTCAGCCCCACCAGGTCTGCTTCTGACTAAACATACCATGTTTATATAGTTCTTATACTTGTTTCTCTTGAGTTACAGTATCAAATCTGTGACACAAGACGCCAGGAATGCAACAGCTTTATTTACCAAAATCTCATGAAAAACATATATTTAATTAGAATTACGCTTCTAAAACTGCATTATGCTATTAAATAGATAACACACCACTTGCATACATGTATCCCCTCTCATCTTTTCCAAATTAGGGAGTGAGAAACTGTAATTGCAGATTAGAAGGACCTTCACAAATGATTAAACAATGAAATTGAAAGGCCTCACATGAATATTAAAAAAGAATGTTGTGTCTTTATTGGAATGGTGGAATACACCCATTTTCATAATCGGAATATTTGGTTGCAATTAGAAATGACACTACAGAACTGCAATACTTGTCCAACAGTCTTGCCTTTACTTTCCCGCCCCTTCCCCAAGCAAGAAATAGAATGAAAATGCACCGAATAATCAGAAAGCACTAGCAGGCATCACTTAATCCAAGATTCTAGTCCCTCAGGTCCAAAAGCATTTGCCAAGTTGCATTATGTATGGAATGCAAGTGGAAGATTGGTCATATTTTGACATTATTAGAGATTTACATGATGAAACTCCATGTGGGCATTATTAATTTTCACATTCCCCTCCAATTGGTCACTGGTGTTTTTTCTTGTCAAATATTAACATTACTTTCAATCACTGATATTTTTTTTCTCAATGTATAAAAAAGTAGGAAATATAAACAGGCTCTTGCATTGTACACAATTAAGAGTACAATAGAAGAATTATAGAGCTGACTATCTACAAACCATCAAATCCCATCAAATCTTGGATATTCCATTAATATACAAAATATTAGGGCACAAAAAGAACAAAGACCAACTCCTTTTGTTTTGTTTATGCACAGCTTCAAATATTTAGTCAAAAGAAAAAAACACTTTGAATTGTTTTGGCTTCCCACTATATCAGCATGTTGAGACAGTTATTAAAATATTCCTGTTTAATTGTGTTTGGTCTTTTTTTTTTTTTTTCTTATTTTCAAGTCACGTTTCTTATCTTAATACCGACCATCCAGACAAACAAGCACTGAGAAAGACCATTTCCTTGCCTCGCTAAACTCAATCATTAAATGTCAGATTTAAGACATAACTCCAAAAACTGGGTTGTGACGACAGATGCTAGGACCAATTTCTTCATAATCTTTTTTGGTGTGGCATACTTGGTAGAACTCAGGCTGAAAAAGAAGACAAAAGAGAAATTTAATTAATGCACTGGATCATATTGCAATTTTATATTTATTAAAATAAACATTTTGTAAAAGGACCAAAAAATTCCGTAAGAAAGATTATTGTATTAACGTTATCACAAATGATGCTGTTACCTATAAAAATAAATGTTTCAAATTTTTGAAATGAAGATATAAGCAGTAAATTGGTGTTCTTGAATATTGTGTTCAGTTTTTATTGTACATTTGAAGGCTAGGTGCATGGAACTCCAGAGTAGAAGGACCTGAAGTTTTAAAGTCTTTTCCTGTATTCTCAGGAAGTCATCTCAAATGGTTTGAGGCACTCACTACTCCTATTAAAAGTCATGAACTACTCAAAGATTTCCTTGTTTTTCCCTGCTTGAAAAGGCTTAAAGCCAAATAATGTAACCTTCTATAAACTCGTAAGTCTTATAGCTTATCCTAGATAAAAGTGCTATCTATCCCTATTCTAAAATTTCAGAATATCATCTGGACCAGGAAGAGATAAAGATACTCTGGGCAGTTCCCAATCAAAGAAATATTAAAGGAAGTTCTTTCTGAATATTTTTACAACATTTATTGTAATGCCTATTACCTATTGTAATATTGCAATAACTGTTATAGTGAACCATCTCTTCAGATTCCTTTTCCATTTTTGTAAACTTACTGTGGAAGCCAGCATTGATCCTCCAAACCAAACAGCGTATCTTTGCATATGATGAGTAATAACTTGTACATCAATAGGTTTTGGCTATAATGGAAAACAAAATCAGTATAAGATTAATTCCAAAAAATGTACAAGTCCACTTATACAAAATTTACTATATTGCAATATTACCTTGTATAAAAATAAATACTTTAACATTATTCCAAGGAATAAAACACAGTTACGACTGTACCATCACTTCTATTGAGAATATATTTACACAACTTTAACTCAATTTTTATTTAGTTTTATTTAAAATTTGTTTTAATTCCACTGCATTTCCATGGTAAAAGTAGTAAAAATAATTTAGCAGTTAAAGTTTAGGAAAGTACCAAGTCACCTTTATTAAATTCATTTATAACAATTTATAAAAATAATATAATAGCAATGTGTTTTTTAAATTCTAATAAATCTCTTTTAAGCTCATCACATTTTTTATTGTAATCACTGTTTATTTAGAAAATACTATTCAACTAAATACTGGCTATTCCTAATATGCTGCTTGAGTCAGAGCAACATCCAGAGCTGAAACAAAATAAAATCTAGTTTAGTACGTGTTAGTAAAGACCAAAATGAATTTTTAAACAAGAAAAAGATTCTCAAAATTAGAGATGTGTCAAATATTTCAATTTGAACTATCTGAACCTTGAAAGGGCATTTTGAGCAGGTAAGCAGGTAGGTTCAGTGTATTTGCAGCTGGTTTTCAAACTTTAAACACTTTCAAAATGTATAGAGCAGGCCATTACAAATTTGCAAAATTGAGATGCTTCAAATTAACCTTATTAAATCATTTCTGATACTTGCTTTGTAGGGGATAGTACTGAAGCTTCTATGGCAACTTCTTTCATAATAGAGAATGAAAACTTTGAGATAGATGAATTAAATGGTCTGTTGCCTCACCAAGCCTAGAGGGTCTATAACTCCATAGCTGGTTATTGCCAATATTACCTCACTAATACTTTCAGGCTCAAGCAATATTTAATTGCAATTGCTGAATAATACTAAAACGAATATGCTTTTAGTATCTGCTTTTCATGTTTTCGGATATACATTATCCATCAGAGATATTGTAGGGCCAATAAAAAATACAATAATTAAATAAAATAATAATGAATAAAATGTAAACACTATCAAATAATGAGGTAAAATGAAACTGAGCCAACAGGAAAAGGTGCAGAGAGAAGATGAAGTGCCCAAAGCATGAGGTGACTAATAGATCAATTGCCTATGAATTTCTGAAACACCAAGTACTCAGCTGCCTGCATTAGGTGGTAAAGATCACCACTTCATCGCAACTGTTCATTTCAAAAGCACAGATCTGAGTACTTTCTACAGCAATAAAAAAAGTTATGAAGATAACAAGGAAAATCAGATTAATACTACTATTCAGTTCTATAAGGACGTTGTTAAAGGTTTCCATTCCAAGCAAGCATTTAAATCAGAGTACCTGCCAACTACATCAATGCATTCTATTGTCTAGGAAACAAACCTTCAGTCTGCCACCACTCAGTTCTTCACTGAGTTTCAGTCTAGCATCCACAGTCCTTTTCAAGTCCCGCTGCAAACGCCGTCCAAAATCCCTGAACATTGTTGAGCCTCCAGAAAGGACAATATTCTGAATTAAAATTGCACAAACAAAATCAAATCATTTATGCAGCAGTGAAACTGAGATATTCACTTCTGGAATTAGGAATAGTGGTAATAATGACATTTCTAACCAGTCATAAAAGACAGAAAAACAGCTGCAATTTCTATACATGTGACCTGTTCACAGACTTTATTTCCTACATAGAAGGCAAAGTTGTATCTTTTAAGTAATGCGTTGAGCAATCTTAAAAAGGGAGAATAGTGTTGCTCAAATATGCTTTCACCAATCAACAAAATTTAATTTTACAGAACAAAAGCAAATCTTAAAAGTCAGGCAGCAGCTGAGAGAATTCAGATGAGATAAAATGACCTTCTGTTGACAGAAAGCATTTCCAAGCTGGCTAGCACAGTTATCCTCAAGGCCCAGGGGATTCCTGTGCAAAGGTCTCCAAGGAGACATTTATTCTGGGAAGGTCAGAATCTAGAGGAGATCACAAAAACTCCTTTTAAGTTTCACAAACTAGACTGGCCTGCTGATCACATGACAACTGATTTCAGCAGTTTGTCTACGTTTAACTATGACTAAAATGTTAATTCCTCACATCAATAAAGTTGTACTACATCAAATCATGTACAAATTCCATCAGACATAGTGGAAGACAGTACAAGTAAAGCAATAAGCAGAACCAGCTAATATCAAGCTCAATTGTTAATATCCCAACATTTATATCAAATGATAAATATAACCCCCATGCTTTCAAATATTATTTTTAGTTATCTATATTAAGACTTTTTAAAAACTCTGCTTTTATCTAAAAGAGAGGGAGATTCTTAGAAATAGAAAAAAATAGATGCTTTGCATCTAGCAACATCTTTTTACATCCATACTTTCTTACCTTCTCTCATTTGACTAACCTTATACAGTGGACGTCTAACATCAATAGGACAGTTCTGAATAACTTCATCTACTACTTCTGAGATGGGCTGTGTGAAGTCTGGATTAGCAAACTGAAAACAGAAGTAAGTATTCCTATTATTATTGTTGTTGTTGTTGTTGTTGTTGTATTTTTACCTTGCTAAGTTTCTGTCTCTTTTAGGATGGTGAACATATCTAATACTCCTGCCTTCTGTTTTCTCTACAACCACCACCTTGGAAGAGTGATCTGATAGAAAATGACTAGCCCAAAGTCACCCAGACAATTTTCATTCCTAAAGCAGGCCTTGAACTCACAGTCTCCTGGTTTCTAGCCTGGTGCCTTGAACAATCCCACATATTTTTTAAAAAATAGAATGGAATGATTAGTATAGATTGTTCTAGCATCCTCAAGAAAATAAACTAGAAGAAAGATGGAATAAATTTAACAACTAGAGATAATTAACCCAAAATTAAATGGGAAGCAATGTATGAAAAGAAATTGTGATTTGGCTAGGCGTTTTATATTAAAAATGGCATGATTTAAGGAAGAATTATTTCTAATTAAAAGGAAAGTGAAGTTATAAAAGTGAAAGAAAACAAACATCCACAACCTCAGCCTTGTTTTCTGTTATAATAGGCTTGGAAAAGCTTTTTGTGACTGTATCTAACATGTCTGTATATGTCTAAGACCATTGTGGTGAGGTAGTGATATAAAATAGATAGGACCAACTTTTCTGCAGGAATAGCTTTGGGTTATGAGGGAAAATACCCTGAGCTGTGGTGGCGCAGTGGTTAGAATGCAGTATTGCAGACAAATTCTGCCCACAGTCTGGAGTTTGATCCTGACCAGCTCAAGGTTGACTCATCCTTCCATCCTTCCGAGATCAGTAAAATGAGGACCCAAATTGTTGGGGGCAATATGCTGATTCTGTAAACCGCTTACAGAGCGCTATAAAGCACTATGAAGCAGTATATAAGTTAAGTGCTATTGCTATTGCTAAAATTTGAGCATTTCCCTCAGCTTTTTTAAAAGCTCTGTTAAGGAATTTTAGAGCTTATACTAGATTGTTTTCTTACCTCTAAATAATGGAAACCATGCCACCAATTTTCAGCACTTGTGGAAACTTTAGGTCAATATAGCTCTAAAGTATCCAGTTACCCATCTCTTAAGATATATATAAATGTAGAGGTAGGGTTTTTCTTTCAAACATGTAACACTTCAGATAAACTTATCTTGATCTAGGAGGATGCAATTCAGCCCTTCAATCATACCACATCAAAAGTGACTAACAGTATCATTATGATTTAAAGCAAAATACTCCAGCTTCATAATACAGATAAAGGGATGTGCTTAATCATGCACACAGAGGTGGATCGCAGGGCCACACAGAACTGCAGAGGGAAAACAGAATAGAAACATTTGTTCTGAGAGAAAAAGCGCACTTGTAAAGGCCAGATTCAGCCCACTGAAAGCCAGAATGTGTCCTCTGATCACTTTCCTCTTTCTATTTTGCCTGCTGTTATCTTATGCTGAACAATTCAGAGTCCACCTACACATCTCAAATGCTAAGCAATGAATCAAGCAGTTCAATATAAAAAAATGGCATCAGCTGGGAGAAACATTTAACCTTACAGCTCAACATAAAAACTACACTGGTGATATAATTAAAACAATTCACAGTAGGAAGAGAGATACACCACTGGTGTAGGTTTAAAATGTAACAACCATCCCCTCTTTTACTTCAAATATTATTTAGGAAGAATTCACACACACATATAATATGCTTCAATTTACCTCAGGATGAAAGAAGATTTCTGGCCCTAAGAATCTTTCATAGCCAACATCAATGGTAAATTCTTTCTTTGAGATAGCATTGATTCCAGTATATTGTTTAATCCACTTGGTACCATCTACATCATATTTATTAAATTCTTTCACTAAGTCTGGACAGACATAACTAAAACGTTCCTGGAAAAACAAGAACACACATTTATTAAAATGACTAAATATCCAAGCTTTTTATCTGATCTTTTTTAGATATAACAGGACTAAATGTTTCCTTGAAAAATATGATACAGACTAGTACTTATTTATTTATCAAATTTCTACTTTGCCCATCTCAGCTACCGGTAAAGTGACTGTGGGCATTATACAAATGGCATAAATGGGAGGATATCAAAAACTAATATTAATCACCTATGTTTAGATAATTAGTACTTGGATTCTTAATATAGATACATTTTATGCCTTGCTAACAAAATGTATAGAATCCAGAGAGCCTGAACAGTTTTAATTCTTTCAGCAGCAAGATAGTAATGGAAAAAATCCAATCATACATATTGTTGCTATAGTAACATACTGTACAATTGTATAACCAAATACCTATCAATAATAATAGATGTGTTTGTGGGGAAATATAGACAAAGAACAGCCAGAAAAGGAATGATAGGTCTTCGCAATGTAAAACCAGAAATCTATTTAAATTATAACATATAGAAGAAAAAATAAGTTGCTAGCTAATTACCCTCTCCGTTCCTAATATTAACTATTTTACATTTATTCATGGATTAGCCATAAAATCTATCAGACTTGACAAGTACCGTATTTTTCAGAGTATAAGATGCACTGGAGTATCAGCTTAGTTTTTGGGGAGGAAAATAAGAAAAAAAAATCTGTCTACCAGGTATTCATCTGGCTAGCGTCCTTAGTCTGGTCAGCTTCAGCACATTAGTTTGCTGGTTTTTTATCCCCTGCTTGGGGATAAAAAACAGCTTCTAAGGCACAGCTGAGAGGAAGCAGCAATGAGAAAAGCAGGCTTTTCGACTCTCCGCTGTGCGTTAACAAGCGATCTCCATGCTTTTCTCCAACTTTCAGCTGTTCTATAGAAGTTTTTTTTCAGTCCTAACTAGGCGCTAGCCAAGTGAAGCCTAGTTAGGGCTGAAAAAAAGCTTCTAAAGAACAGCTGAGAGTTGGAGCAAAGCATGGAGATCGCTTCACTCACTAGCGCCTCATTAAAGCACAGTGGAGAGTCAAGGGAGCAGGCAAAGTGGGGAAGATCGCTTCACTCTCTAGCGCCTCGCTAGCACCTCATTAGGGCTGAAAAAAGCTTCAAAAAAGCTATATTCGGAGTATAAGATGCATCCAAATTTTCAGCCTCTTTTAGGGGGGAAAAAGATGTATCTTATACTCCAAAAAATACGGTAATTAAAATTAACTTAATGATGTAAAGCAATTATTGACTTACAATACAGAGTTGAACTCAAATTCTTGTAACCGAGGATTGTACAAAGAGTGAATATCATTTTGGATGAAGATACTGAACCTATTAAAATTTCCACTCTTCAAAGGCAGCTCTAGTTAGAAAGTTGTAGTATACCCAAGCATGAAGGGAATCTTGCTATAGGGAATGTAAATGCCTTGAAAATGTTAAGTAATCCAAATAAATAAGGACTGTGCCATTTCTGGTGCATCACAAAATCTTGACGCAAGTGCATAATTGTAGAGTGGATTGTCATTTTTGGGCTTCATTCCAGTTTGCTGTGAAGGCTGCTGGATGGCACAGAATATACATATGCAAAGTCAGGGTTTGCATTTTAATATATCTATTTGCATTTGGGTCTTAATAAATAAATATTTCATTAAAAATATTGCTGATATATCCATTTACATTAACCAAATATATTACCTTGACTGCTTTAGCAGTTTCCAATGATTGCTCTGGAGGGATTCCTACTTCTCGTTCTCTTAGCAGTTGCTGAATAAAGTAAGTTATATCTCGTCCGGCTATTGGAATATGTTTGATACAGCTACCAATTACATAACCTTCAGCCTGGAAATAAAAGAATGTCCTCAGTGACAACCATAAAGACTACCTTTGATCTTCTTCCCACTGGTGCATTGCTGGGCAGGAATGTACTTGACACTGTACCTCATCAGAACCAATTCTGATGATGTCACACTAAGCAGATGAAAAGATAAAATTCTGCTCATCTAATAATCCTTCCCCTCACTCCCTAACTTATGTTCAGAGTTAATAAAAGTAGCAAGACTTGCATTTCATAGGGCTACAGATCACCTGTAGGGCATTTCAATAATGCATTTGTACCCTGCCTTTCTATTTATATAACTTTCAAGGCATCCTACAGCACAATCTAATAATAATATCTAATATAACTTTCTCAAGAGTGAGAACACCAAAACAAGTATTTCAGGATTAGCATTTTCTATATCATGAAATTTTTGAAGACCATAGCTTTTCAACAGGTATACCAAATGGTGTCTTTCTCATGTTTTAGACTTAATTTCTATCAGCCACAAGTATGGAATTTTAGGAATTGTTAATGAAATATCTTGAAGACAACAGGTTAACTATCACTGAAATATTTTAAAATAAAATAAACAGGCTGTTTAAGTGCCTTATAGTTTGCAAACTAAGAAAATGTATTTCTTAATACTAGTTAAAAATAATAAAAGTGTTAAAATTTTGCATTTTGTAATTTGTAGGGGATAGTTACATAGCTCTGAACTCATAAGGAGAAGGCTGAAAACAAATTACAGTATTAGGAACTGTACTTTAATAAATGAAACTGTAATTATATCTTACCACAGGAATGACATGAGTGACACCATCCCCGCTATCTATAACCGTTCCAGTCAGTGTTCGTTCTCCTACTTGTCTTGATGTCCAAGATGCAGCTAAAGCAAGGACAGCCTACCAAAGAAACAGTATGAGCATAAGTGTTTCATAATCTCCAGAAAATGAATACTACATGAGACAAAATCATACAATATATTTATATTGCATTACATAGCCCAAGAAAATTATACACATTACAAGAATAAAGTGAAAAAGAAAACAAAGAACATATAAGAACAGATACAGTTTGTTAAATTTTAAACAATTGCAGCAGCACTACAGAAAAGAAAAATAGAACTCTTCTTGAATTCACACTCAAGCATTGAGACAATCTCAGTAGGTAAAGTATTGATGGAAAGCAGCACTATCCCACTGAAGCTACATTAATTTCAGACTGGCTGAAAATACAATATTCTTTTTCATGTTATCTTTCTGGCATAAAGTGATTGCAAATATGATGAGTTCAGGTATAAGAACTCAATACAATACTGTGTTAAGATTATCCTTTGTTAAGAAGTGTAATATACATAGTCAATAAATATTGATAAGAAATGTTAACAAGTCAGAATTATGACTTAAAATAAAAATTATCTTCAACTGCAAAGCAATGCCAAATGTCTTGTAAATGTTAAACAAAAAATAAATCCTATCAAAAGAAATACTGTGGTAGCAAACCATGGACACACTATAGAAGAGTTAAGCATAGAAATAATAAAACTATAGGCACCATGCTGCTCTTTCATCCAATAAACACTTATTATAAGGTGCTCTATATCCTGAGAGTAGGCAGAAGTGAAATTCTGATTGACAACTTACATAGCAATTGCTGTGCTAATGATCATTCTTTCCTCCAAGAAGCAGAGTTCACAGACAATTATAGATCACATAAAACAAAGACAAACTATACTTTATGAGATGATTTTGCTCTTACCTCAATTTGATAGAAAGTTAATTTGTATTACTTTATGAAATTCTACATTAGTGTGATTTGCACATTGGTAGTATTTCCACATCACACCTAATCATAAGAGGCAGTTAGTGCATTTTGTACAGAAACTATTAGCCACCCCTCCCAAGCAGCATCACTAGTGTTCATTGTTTAGTTAAGCATGCTATCCAACAAAAGGTAAAAGACAGGACTAGATGTCCCATACTAGGAACAGTGATTTATGTATCCCAAATTAACAGTCAGAAGAAAACAAAGAAGATAAAGGAGTGCGTTTTAGTCATTTACAAACCTAGACTTTACAAAACTTTATATTATACTTCAGAACATATTTAGAACATTTCCAAATGTGTGAGTTTCATGCAAAAGGCCTCTCACCTCAAATTGGGTGATCTCATTGTCTGTCCAGTGGGCTAGTTGGGACATAGCACGAAAGAAGTTCTCATAAAATTACCATTATCATTTAGGTCAGAAGAAAAGTTCTAAGTGCAGCTGATGCAGAACAGGCTAATTCTAGGGCAATTGATGTAGAATCCACATAGTTTCTTAAGGACTATTACTTAATAAAATCAGAACTCTACATCTCACCTGAACAGCAATGTAAAGCCCAGGAACATTGAAGGATTCAAACATGATTTCAGCAGTATATTCCCTGTTTTCTGGAGTATTTAGAGGAGGTTCAGTCTGTGAAGAAAAAAAACTATTCAGCTCAATCTAATCTTTCTGTAGGCCATGTAATATTTTTACCTGAATAATTATCCTTCATTTTACTTGTTTTGATAGCTTTACAGGATCTAATATATCCAACACCACAGATGAATTGATTTCTTACTGAAAGAACTGTAACTTCCTAAGTATGCTTATTTTTCCCCCATAAAAAGAAAGTAGTGCCTGTAAATACAGAACACTGTTGTCCCATTATTCCCCGACATTACTTTCTCAAACAACAGAAGAACTCTGTTAACTCTCTTAATTCTGCTAAGGAATTACATACAAATTGGAAACTTTGTTAATGTCAGTGAGTGAGGAAAAGATTTAATAGCGAGACAATACATCTTACATAATTTCATGAACATTTTGTCTTAAAAATCAAGACTGCTCCTGAAGAATTCTTTAGTGAGCTAAATGAAGTCAGCAATTTTACGTATTTTTTCATATACTGCAATTATGTATTTTATTATAATAGCCTTACAGCCATTAAATACTAGGTAAATTCCGACTTTCTTCTGTGATCTGGTTTCAGAAACTACAAATATTATTTCAAGATTTTAAAGCTATAAAATGCAGAAGCATTTTAGAGGAGTACTTTAGGTTGGTTATTGTCACAATAATTGCTATAATTATAGATATGGAAGGGAACAATTGGGCTACGGAGTCCATCTGCCTCCTAAATAGAAAGAATCCAAATTCTCTGATTAAAGAAGGAATGCATCCTTGACAAATTACCTACCAAACTTCTGCTTCAATAAATCCATCAAAGGGAAGCTCTCTGAACTGGCTTTGTTTGTTAAAATTTATGATTATAAATGTCTTAATAATAGATACCTTTAGAAACAGTTTCCCCAGATAATTATTTCCCCCAAAGAATTATTCACTTGGTATCTGTTTTATGAGTTTGTTTTTTATGTGTTCTCAGTGTTATAGCAATAAGACATACCATGTTTCCCTGAAAATAAGACATCTTATTTTCTTTTGACCCCCGAAAAAAATTCTAGGGCTTCTTTTCTAATTATTGACTCATCTCACCGCCACGGCACCAACAGACCCACCCGCAGGAGACAGCTGCCCGCCCACTTCTGCGGCTGCTTGATGCTGCTTGTATGCATCGCCCCCGGCCTCCATTTAATCCGGATTAATCCGGAGCTCTGTTATCGGATGTAGAGGGCTTTCCGGAAGACATCTGAAGGCAAAACGGAAGCCAGGGGGTGCCACACACATCAATCCAGAGCAAGTTTCTCAGCTACACAGGGGTTTCCAGAAGGCTCTTACAGTGAAACGGAGTTGGGGGGCGATGTGTGCAAGGAGGGGCAAGTAACTGCAGAAGTGGGATGCAGAAAAAGTGGCTGCAGAAGAAGGCAAGGCAGGTGTTGGGGTGTGCGAGGCCTGGTAAGGAGAGCAGTCTATCCCTCCATTCCCACCCTAGCTTAATTTTTACCTTCCCCCACCCTCTGCACCCCAGGGTGGGTGGGGTCTTAATTAGTGCTAATTTTGGAGGTAGGGCTTAATTTGAGTGCATGCATTCAAAAACATGATAGGGTCATAATGGCGAACCTGTGGCACGCGGAGCCATATCAGTGGGCACACGAGCTCAGCTTTGGCATGCATGCATGCGCGCACCAGCTGATTTTCAGGCCTTTTGGGCCCACTGAAAATCAGGAAAAAGGCCGTTTCCAGGCTCCAGAGGGCTTCCGGGTGGTGGGGAAGGCCGTTTTCACCCTCCCCAGCCTCCTAGAAAGGCTCTGGAGCCTGGGGAAGAGCAAAAAATGGGCCTACCGGGCCCACCGTGTGCCAAAAGCGGGGGGAGCGGGAGGATTGCATGCATGTGCAGGGGGGGCGGGGTGCATAGAACTATGGGTGTGGGCACATGCGCGAGCAACACCCCGCCCCCGCACGCGATGGCAAAAAGGTTAGCCATCACTGTGATAGCCGAGAGCCGAGGTGGCGCAGTGGTTAGAGTGCAGTACTGCAGCTACTTCAGCTGACTGCTAGTTCAGCAGATCAGCGGATCAAATCTCACCGGCTCAAGGTTGACTCAGCCTTCCATCCTTCCGAGATGGATAAAATGAGGACCCAGATTGTTGGGGGCAATATGCTATTTAGTATACTGTCTTTGGTGTAAGCTGCCCAGAGTCCTCGGAGAATGGGCGGCATAGAAATATGAATAATAATAATAATAATAATAATAATAATAATAATAATAATAAGGCTTCTTTTTGGGGTGAGTCTTATTTTAGGGGAAACACAGTATTTTCAGCACTCTCTGGGCAGTTTATAATGTCAGCATATTGCCCCAAACAATATGGGTCCTCATTTTACCAACCTCAGAAGGATGGAAGGCTGAGGAAACTTTGAGCCCCATTAGGATCGAACTCCAGGCTGTGCGCAGTTTGCCTGCAATACTGCATTCTAGTCACTGTGCCCCCAGGGCTTAAACTGTGAGCCTACCTTATTTTACTTTGCTGCACCACATTTTTTAATTTTTATTACAATGTAATTTTGTATTATATACCATTTTGTTGTACTGTAATTTATATCAGAGGTAATACTTTTCAGTCTTTGCTCAATTATCTATTACACTTGTTTTTACAAATTAAAGGATTTGTTCTACTTTGAGTAATCAGTATCCTGATTACTTCAAATCGGATTTTATACTCACCAAAAGAAAATAATGGTCTTCAGGTTCTGCCCTTAAATATTTAAAGATAACTTGTTCCATAAATCTCTCCATCAAGTCCCAATCTTCAACTATGCCATGGCGAATGGGCCACTGTTTAAAATGTGCACATTGTTAAAAGAATACTAAATTTAAACTTATGGTAGAATCACATAAATATGAATAAATATAGAAGGCGGCCTTTAACTTTGCTCTGGCTTATTTGTACTGTTAAGTATAGAGTTTATATTTTTACATGATACTGCTCTTTTTAAATTAAATCAATTATCATAACTTGTTTTAAAATATACTGGTAAGCATCTTAAAACTTTATCTTAACCTGAAATATTAACATACTGCTGTTTATAATAAATTATATGATACAGTAAATAAAGCATTAATTTGTATGAGGAAAATTAAGTTCAAATTATTATTCATCCCTGAAAGTTAGACAATCTTTCTTTCTTTGCTTAAAAAAGAGAAAAAATGCCACTTTTTATTTTAATACCTTTGTTGCATATGTGGGTTTTTCTATTGCTTCATCCCCGATAAAGAAGTCTAAGTCATCCACACCTTTCATAACCCTTCTTTGTGCCTGATCGACAACTTTGGCCGATTCCTTAATGGCAATACCTTTATTACAGAAAATAAGAGCAAATTATAGATAGAATTATACCCTTAATTTTTAATAAAACATTTATTCTTCTACAAAGACTTATTACTCTGAAGGATATTACTGTTGATATGTTTATCCAGTTTTCTAGAAAAAATAAATTTCAAATACAAGTCAACCTTCTACTTAAAGCATCACTAGAATTTGGGGGGGGGGGGTTGTTAATGCAAATGTCCGTTAAATCTGAGTGTTATTTTTTTTAAAGTACAAAATTTTTTTACAGAGCTCATAGATATGGGTAGAGTGTTAAATGTTTGCCTGAATCAAGCAGAGTTGAGAGATAATAGCATTCTGCACAGAAGTACTAGAACCAACAATACAGACAAACCAGAGGTGGGTTTTACATAATTTTACCACCGGTTCGCCGTAGACCGAAAATGCCTTCCGCATGTACGCTTTGCTTTTGTGCGCGACTTGCACGCATGCGCATGGCTTAGAAAACATGGCTAAATAGGACATCATAGTGCCGGGGCAGGTGGGTGGGCACCACAGGTCACCACTACCGGTTTGCCCAAAGCAGTCCGAACCAGCTGAATACCACCAGAAACAAACCTTAGTGGCAATGGACTTTAAGAGATAAAGCCAAAGTACAAATCTGGTTTTCTATATTAAACATTCAAATTGTAATTTCACTATTTCCGATTCAATAAAAAGGGCTTAAATATAATGTGCTTGTTGTGGCTCCGTCCTCCGAGCCTATCTTATCGGAGGAAGAAGGCTCCGAACATGAAGGAGAGGAGCCGGCCAGGCCTCCCTCTCCAGGCCCCTCCTCTCTGGCAATGCCTCAGGTGTCTGCTGAGGGAGAGGAGATTGACCAGGAGCCAGGTGTCTCCGATGACAGCGATGGGGATGATAAGTCATTCCTGGATCCACGCCAACGAAGGCGAGATAAACGTTTGCAGTAGATGAGGCGGCGTGCCAGGGATTAAGCTGAGTCACTGGACCACACCCCACAGGCTATATAAGAGAGTGTGGTGGCCATTTAGACTCTGTGACGGACAAAGCTAACTTCTGGCTAGTCACTTTGTACAACGCCAAATCTGCTGAAGGTTTCATGTTTGAGCTGGACTGTTTTGAAAACTGTGTGTATTCGTTGGTGTTATCTGGTGGAGGAACACTCCCTCTTCTTGTAGTAAAGCACTTGGCAGACGATTATCGTATTGCTGCCAAGTTCCTGATAACGAACCTTGTGTGAGTACTTCTTTAACCCCTGGCTGGCTGTTTGTGTGTATGGGCGGACGGGGACAGAACAGTGCTTCAGATATATAAATGAAGTAGAATTATAATTTTTTATGCCAAGCACAAGGCATTATACCAGAAATACAGCCTCATGATGTTTATATAATACCAGTTATTTTATAATAAATTCTTGGAATATTGTTTCATGGAGCTTTCTTCTTATTTCTTAACTTTCTTTTGTATAGCAAATATTTATTATCCAAGCTCTGTTTGTCAAAATGTTCACTTTACATTCTAAATATGCGTAAAAATGCATAATTATAAATCAAAAAGTACTGAAGCAGTTTTTAGAAAAGAGATCACTGAGAATTGACAACCTGATGGTATATAATCAATTGATCACTATAACCAGACAAAACTTTCATCTTTAACCCAGACCATTAACACTCTTCTTTAAAACATGTAAATAATAAATAATATTCTGAATGGACAGAGAATAGAAATAACAATATATTAGAAATAATAATAAAATAACAGAAATAATCAAATTATCACAACACTTGATAAGTTATAAATCTATGGAAGGACAGACTGCCTGAATTGATTATAATCCCTGTGTTCCTTCCTCCCCACCTCCCTTCCTGGCCCTTCACCAATGCTGAAATACACTATCAGATTTTATTTCTCAAGTGCACTACTAATGACACTTGTCTATTTGTCTGATTCTAGATTACAGAAATAACAAGGTATCATATATAAAATATAAAATCTGGCTGCTAAATCATGCAAGTTCTTTGGCTAGTTAAAATATTAAAAAAGAAAAATAGCACTGAAAAAAACAATACATCTGACACTATGAACTGAAAATTATATCTGGATATTTTTTTGATAAAAAAAAAAGGTTACCATGGTGTTTAAAGACAGGAATTATTCATGCAATATAAAATGACTGCCTTGGATTTATGCTGCATGAGAATTTTAAAAAGCCCTGAAACAAATATGATATTTTAAGTACTTTTAATGATTAAGTCATTACTCCAACCTCTTAAAGATAATTAGTAAAAATGTAAAGGAAGCTTATTAAAATAAGTAAAATATACAAAAGACTACATATATTGTTGATGACTTTATAATCTATAAATGGTCAGTGTGGTGAATAAAACATAAATTAGCATTTTCAATGACATTGAAATGCCATATATTAAGGAAAGATAATTGATAATATGATAATAACAAAGAAAACAGGCTATAACATATTTTCCAAAAAATATTCTAGAAACTTTTAAATTTCTTGTTAACTAATGTGTTGTTTCTGCAGTAAAATATATATCCTAAATGCAGCTTTACCTGATGATTGCATAAAGATAGTCATTCTGACTCACAGGCAATATGGAAGTGATTTGTTACTGCCTTTTTCCAGTGTATTTTTTTCCAACATCCCAGTTATTGGAAGGGGAAAGACTCTTGAAATCCCATATCAACTTAATCCAAACATGTTTAGATTTAATAAAATGAGTAAAAGTGGATTTGAGCTTGCCACTTGCTATGCTATGTATGCAAGGCATTACTTAAGACACTTATGATAAATGATATGGTTAGTAAAATGTTACAATGAATCATGGAGACAAAAGGGCCATGGAACAAAACCCTCTGCCCACTTCAAGTATTCAAATTAAAGCATCACAATAAATGACTCTCTAGACACCGTAGGGTCTGCCACAAAATATTGCAAGAATCCTTATCCCATAACAACATTTTTAGGCCAAGTATGCTTTTTCATCATTTCAGAGTTTGATGTAAGCTGGATGGCTATGTAAATATTTAAAATAAAATAATAAAATACAATAAATCAAAATAAAATAAATTTAGGACAATATAAGAGCTTGTTAAGGGGTTCAACCAGGCAGTTATTACCCACAATCACTCCAGTTCTCATTTTCAAACATCCTGCAGTTTGTGGTAGCACTGATCCTGTTCAATTCTCACTTTGTTTTTCTTTTTCTTTTGTTTTCTGATTTATTTTGGGATGGTCTATGTTCAATTTAACCTTTTGAATCCCTGTATCTTTTACTTCAGCATACTGTTTCTTCTCTCTTATTCACCAGTGGCCACATTCTGACTTCTTTCAGCATTTAACTACTTCAACTCACCATCAACTCATCATCATGAGCCATGGTGACACAGTGGTTAGAGTGCAGTACTGGATACTACTTCTGTGACTGCCGGCTGCCTGCTATTTGGCAGTTAGAATCTCACCAGGTTCAAGTTTGACTCAGCCTTCCATCCTTCTGATAAAATGAGGTAAAATGAGGAGCCAAATTGTTGGGGGCAATATGCTAACTCTGTAAACCGCTTAGAGAGGGCTGTAAAGCACTGTAAAGCAGTATAAAAGTCTAAGTGCCATTGCTATTGCTACCAAGGAAAATATTATTTATCCATCAAACAATGGCATGACATAGCCCCTTCTCTTGCTTCTCATACATTTGTTCACTGTATTTTTTGTAATTTATTTTGGCATGTTTAATAACCAGGGATAGGTTAAACTAAACTGTTATGAAAAACTACATAGAATGGCATCTCTTTAAGCTCATAATTATTAGTAGTGTATTTATAGGGGAAATTAAGGAAATATTGAATAAGGAATGCCACGTGAGCACGGAATGAAGTTATCATTTCATTGACAGTCTGAGAATGCTGAAGGAGCAAAATGTTGATTAGTTGTATTCTGAATGACAGAATGAAATAAGCAATGGCAATTAGTATAATTATTCCTGAATTTGTCTTCAAGAACCAAAAAATCCCCACATTTAATTTCATCAACTGATGGCACATCTCTTTAGAATAGTAGTGCAAAAGGTAGATATAATCTGTTCTTCCCTGGAGAGAAAGAAAAGAGAGAATACCTCCAGAATATTTATTGTTAATGTTTCTTAGCAGTTCTCCCCAGAATACATCCAAATTCCACATGGCATTTAAAAAGGAAAAACCAGGAAAGGCTTCCAAAGATAAACAGCTATGCAGACAAGGCAAACCAAAGCAGCAATTTAATACCAGCTGGTTCCCACAGTAGAATAATGCTGTTACTAATCCAGAATACTCAAGCACCAAAAAAAGGAAAGGGGAATGATAAAATCCTGGTTCAGTAGAAGAGCCAAGATTGCAATTCTCCTGACAATTGATAAAACTTTCTCATTTAATCATCTTTTGTTCTAATCACACGTGCTTCTATTTATTAGTCAGTGAAATGAATTGTTCTGCTCCATCAAGACTCAACTAATCATTCAACCAGTGCCAAACTACCAGAAAGGATAAAAATTTCCAACAGATAGTTAGTTTTGCTCTATATCCTAATCAGAATAACTTTAGCTAAAAGACATAGTTTGATAAAATAGCAAAAGGGGGCCTAAATGAACTCAATACTAATGCCATTACATATTTTTTCAGGTTTTTCTAGTAATCTGAAAACACATTCAAAGTGGTTTCAAAAAAATCTATCATGTACAGTATAAAACCTCATTTAAAGGGAATTTCAAAAGTATGAATATTCTTAAAACTGTGAGCTAAATCAAGTGACAAATGCAGTTACATCCTTTAATACAACAGTGTACCCCAAAACACTTACATGAAGGAATGATGAACTGTGGCTCTGTATTACCAGCATATCCCAGTTTGGTATACCTGTAAGACAAAGCAACATAAACAAGCTACTTTAAAAATGATCAGCAAAACTGCAGTATTTACAAATCAAAGTCACATGATCAAATATTGATGTATAAAAATATTAATCAGAGACACAGTCCCCTCACTGAGAGTCATTAGCCTAAATCTGAAAAGGCTAATGCTGATGCCAACTATATATTTGCCAAAACAATACCTATAAGAACTGGGTAGAAGTCCATATAACTGCCCATAAGTCAGGCAGCACAAGGTAATATTTTTGTTTCAAGTGACAATGCTAAGATATACTGAACACCTTGTACTGATTAATTATCTGACCATAACAACAAAAAAAACCCTATTAAAACAATAGAGAAAATAGTAGGGCATATTCATAATAAACTGTCACCCTTCCAGTCGATCCCAATCTCTTCTAAATAGTCTATTCTCTTCAAAATGGTCTTTGATATAAAAATGCTATCTTGCTAGGGATATGCAGGTTTATTTCCTGCAAGAAATTTTCAGTTTTGTTGAGTGAATAGAGTTTGCAATCAAAGCAAGATATGTCTTAACAGCTAGTGCACTATTCATAGTCTTTTTTTAATCAGAACTCTATGGAATCCAGTGCTGTGGAGTCTGAGTCGAGGAGTCGGAGGAAATTTTGGGTACCTGAAGTCGGAGTCGGAAATACAACAAACTGAGGAGTCGGAGTCGGAACATTTATCTCCCGACTCCACAGCCCTGAATTGGAATCTTCCATACCTTATCATAGAATCTAGTTGTTTCTTGGACTTGGGCTATATCTATTCCAATAAGGGAACATTTATATATCTCCCACATTTCTGACTTTATATAATCATTGGGACTATTTTGCTGCTGAATAATTTATTTATTAGAATTAGAGAACCAAGATAGCTATGGTTGCTAAGCTGCCTTACAGAATTGACACTGACTGTAGCTGTTAAAAGAACTCCTTGTGAAATGTGGCAGCCAGATACAGACGTAGTAAGGCACACCCACTCAACCATGTTTAAAGCTTCACTGCAACTGAACAATCAAGTTTTTAAAAAGCTTTTCCATTTAGAATACACTAGTCTAATGGGCCATATACAGGTAGTCCTCGATTGAACCAAAAAATTATGTTGCTAATTGAAACATTTGTCAAGTGATTTTGCCCCATTTTACATCTTTTCTTGCCACAGATGTTAAGTGAATCATTGCATTTGTTAAGTTTGTAACATGGTTGTTAAATGAACCTGTCTTCCATATTGACTTTGCTTGTCAGGAGGTTGCAAAAATTGATCACATGACCTTAGGACCTACAGCCATCATAAATATGAACCAGTTGCCAAGCACCTGAATTTTGATCATGTGACCATTGGGATGCTACAGTAGTCGTAAATGTGAAAAATGGTCACAAGTAATTTTTTTCAGTGCTGTTGTAACTTTGAACGGTCACTAAATGAACTGTTGTAAGTTGAGGACTGCCTGTAATTAAAACCACTCCCTTATGAATTATTGTGAGTCATCATATGAAATAGGCAACCACATACAGGGAGTTTTTTAAGTGACCATTTGAAATTACAACAGTGCTGAAAAAACTGACTTACAAATGGTCCTTGCATTTATGACTGTGGAGCGTCCCCACGGTCACATGATCACCATTTTTGATTGCAGCACACTGGGGGGGGGGGTTGTCACTTATCGCCATTTCTACCTTTCCAGGGGCTTCAAACTAATGAAGTCAATGGGGGAAGCCAAATTCACTTAAAAATCATATGATTCGCTTGTAAGTCCTGCAAATAAATAAATAAATGTGTCTTGAGACATGGCTGGTTTTATATTTCTAGCCCCACATTAACAGTCTGTTAAGGAAAAAAAAAAAGACAAATATCTTACCCCCCCCCTAAGAAATAGAGGAATCATTATTCCACTACTGAAATCAAGTGTTTCAGTTACAGCCTCATCGTCTCCTGTCATTATTAAATGCTGTTCGAGTGAAACTTCCCATTTAACTATGGAGTTTGTGAAATAAATATGGGTCAATTGCTTAACTCAAGTTTCCTCACAGAGTTCTTGATGTAGTGATAAAATGAGAGAAGCTCTCTCTTTGTGCCTTTGTGTCTTTTCTTTGAATTCCCAAAGAAAAGTTAGACTATAAATGCAATAAACAAATACCATATTTTGCTGAGAGGCTGGAAATTTAAATAACTGTTTCCAGGATATTTAACACAGTGTTAGTAATAAAGCCAAAAATTCTCAACGTGTGTCCATAAGCAATGTACCTTACTACAGTAGTGGCCAAAATTGTGGAAACCTTTTGGGAAAAGTGTATTTTTGAGGTTTGATGGCAAATAACACCACTTTTTTTTGGGGGGGGGGGGAGTACCATAAAATTATATATCAAATGGAAAGGTAATTTAATCAAGAATGTAATGCTTTTCAACCTTTGTTTGAGAGATAAAAGTGGCTTTTTTGTGGAATTCTAGATTTTAGGCCAAAATCCTACGGTCTGCACTGAACAGTCCTTGCACTCCACATTTGCATTGTGCCATTTCATCTTGTATACACCCAGATGATTTTCTTCTGTCACGTAGGCACAGTCTCTTAATTCTTCTATCATCACTTGCTGTTGTGCACCTTTTCCTGCTTTTACCAGTGTGGTTTTGTAGTGACTGAGTCTCCTTATACCTCTTCAAAAACTTAGAAATGCCACATTTCCACCAATTTTTCTTCTAATTTCTTTAACCTTGTTCACTTAATAATACTATTTTACATCACCTTCTGGGCGACAACTCTTTGCATCATTACTTTAATTTTATTACGTTTTACAAGTTCACTAAATGAAAGAACACAAAAAACCCCAACCAACTTGATAGTGATCACATAACACACTGACAAATGTCCTCCTCTCAACTTCAATACATGACATCAATAACTGAATCCTACTGTGATCTGATTGGCTCATTGCTAAAACAAGATGACACTTGATTGTCTCTCTAAACATTCATGCTCACTGGTTACAATCAGATGAAGGAAAGCTACCTGATATCAACCTAAGCAAGTTGTGCTTCCTTTTTCTGGTTATTTGGCTATATCTTTTCATGGAATACAGATAATTGAACAACCTTTGTTGCATTATATTCTTGGTTAAATTATCTTTCCATTGATATATAATCTTATGGTACTACTCCAAAAAAAGTGGTGTTATTAGACATCAAACCTCAAAAATACATTTTCCCAAAAGGTTTCCACAATTTTAGCCACTACTGTATACTAGCCACTACATTGATTCAGTCACATTTAGTACTGCACAACCTAACAAATCTTTGTTGCCCATCCATATGTATTCAACAGTTCATCTGTCCTCTGTCTTTGTTCTCTGCATCAACTTTCACCTTTCTCTGTAAATATCACATCTTTTCCCTTTGCAATAGCTGCACCATTGATTGCTCTTTGTTCTCATATGGGCCATATTCCCTAATTAAAAGCAGGAGATTTTCATGGAGATTTTTAAAATGCCTTTCTACTTGTTATTTTTCAGAATCCAATTTGCTCTCACCATCTGGCATTCAATGAAGTATATGTATGTTGGATCTGAATAATTTGCCACCTCCTCTTTTTTCCTGTACCTGACATTTTTAAAGATCAGTCATAAAAGACGGTTAGGGTTATTATTTGTATGTCATGTAGTCTTTAGTCATTCATATAATGATGCTACGTAAGTACAATACTATTATATCTTTACCTAAAAAGCTAATTTGTGAACTATATATGAGAGAAACAGGCAATATGTTTCTATGGTAACTATGGGCACTCTTAGTGCTTGACAGGATCCCTGCTCATATTTTTTTTTTAAAGCTTATTTTAAAATATTGATTGCGAAGCTGGCATCCCAGAAACCAAATAACCAAGTTTTGCTATCATCTCTATTTAAGAGAATGTCTTTGAGTTCCCCAAAGATGTTAGAAAATAAAACCGGTGAATAGACATAGTCCCAAGACTTATTTACACAATTCTTGAAGTTTGGCAGGGTTCTACGCTCCTAAACTTTGGAAAAGACCTGGCTTTCTCCCCCAGGTATGGGATATGGTGAGGTGGATAAGAAGACTGCATATGAAATCTTCACTTTGGTGCCAGGTTTTTATTGTGTGTGTGTGTGTGTGTGTGTGTACACAAATGGATATATATGTGTGTGTGTATCTATCTATCTATCTATCTATCTATCTATCTATCTATCTACCTACCTACCTACCTACCTACCTACCTACCTACCTACCATCATCTACCCTGTTTTCCCCAAAATAAGACATCCCTAATAATAAGCCCAATCAGGCTTTTGAGCGCATGGCAATAAGGCCAAAGGCTTATTTCAGGATTCAAAAAAATATATATGACAGGGTCTTATTTTCAGGGAAACATGGTATCTGTTTTATTATTGATGTACTGCTAATTTGAAGCCACTAGGAAGGAAGGAAGGAAGGAAGGAAGGAAGGAAGGAAGGAAGGAAGGAAGGGGGAAGGAACCTTCCCAATCCTCTTTTTCCTGCTACTGATGAAGTATGTCTGGCATAGAGATCACAAGAGGCCAGGTGTACCTCATCAGCAGTAGAAGGAAAAAGACAGCAGGGGTAGGCAAAGGTGGTAAAAATTAGGGTTGCCAAAAGGGCAAAGATGAGGGAGGGGCAGTTGAACTGCACAGAGATCATAAACATGGGCAACCTGCCAAGCACCCAAATTTTGATCACAAGAAGGTTATCTGTAAAGATTAAGATGAGAAATCTTATGCTGGAAAGTACAGGTAGTCCTAACTTAACTGCCACAATTGGGAACAGCAATTCCATTGCCAAGTGACACGGTCATTAAATGGAACATCACTTATCATGCCGGACTTAACATCAGTCCCAGTATGGCTATTAAGCAAATCACCCACAGTTTAGGGAGGCATCACATGACTGTGACTTGCCAGGTTCTCTATTAACTTGGCTTGTCAAAAGCCAGCTGTGAAGCTTCCAAATTGCA